ATACTCATAAGGTGAAAAATGGCTATGGCTACAAAGAAACTGCCACTTGAAGAGAAGTCTGCAGAAAAGAGACCCACCATAGAAGAAGTCTGCTGCATAACCTTAAATTTATTCTATAAAAGGCACATGGTTTTGTACAGCTACATTTTGAGAAATGACACAAAGGCTTGGAGCACATGCTTTACAAGCAGGAGCCTCATATTTGATATCTGGTACTGCTGGGAGCAACCCTCAAGCACTGCACCTGGTGTGGCTCTTCTTTTTTATTATTTTTGTAAATTTTATTTTTATAAAGTTGTTTTCAATATTTGATTACATTTAATATTTAATATTTGAATAATAATGTTAAATGTCACCTTGCATGTCTGAACACCAATCCCACCACTATTATGCCTTCCCACCACGATATTTTGAATGTTTTCATCCCAAACCCCAAACCCTGCCCCCAAAGCAGAACCAGAATAATTTATGTTGTTTTGCTTGTTATAATTCTCTACAAATGGTCCAAAAAACGTTTTTAGAGGAAAGTGTGTAAAGATTGTTGAATTTCAACCAGGAGCCATTAAACCGTCAAATAAGAGAGTAGTAACATGTTGTTAAAGGTTGAGTCTTGAGTGCTTACATATATCTCTGTATAAATATATTTCCCCTTAAGATTGGTTGCCTTAAATCCCATCAAGTGTGGTGTGACACTCTTGACATATTAGTGGTGTAAAGTATGAGATGTCCAGGAATAGATTCACTCATAGGTGTGACTTGTCCGAGCATGTGAAGAGCAGTCATAAGCATGGCGGTGGTTGAATTCTGGAGGTTTTCGGCTGCCAGGTTTTCTGGCTCCATTGGGGCATGGAGGGCTCATCCACCCCCTTCCGGGTTGCCCTAAACGAAACAAACTGGCACAGGGTCTGGAGGCATCTCTATGGCATATCGTTCTGTGCTCTCTTCTGAGAGATTTATTATTGTGTCTCTGGATCATGGCCATTGATGAGATTATTTGGCACTGGAGGTGGCTTGTGGGGGTGACTGCGAAGCTGCCGGAAAAAAGGGGAGATGGGGGAGGTTACCGATTCCAGTTTCCGCAGAGCCTGGAGTTTTCAGTCATAAGTCCCACATATCTGGGTTTTCTGTGGATTCACACATGGGTGAGACCTCATCTGCTTCCCTCTGAGTTGCCTCATGGTGTGGCTCTTCTTAAAAAGAAGAGCTGGAGAGATAGTTCAATGGGCTAGTGCACATGCTCTGAATACAGAAGGACTAGTTTAGCATTCCAGGTTCGCATGGTCCCCTAGCACCACCAGAAGTGACCACAGAGCACCAAACAGGGAGTAGCTCCCAAACACATCAGATGTGACCCCAAAATAAAAAAGAGGAAAAGAAAAAAAATGATGGGTCTGAAAGACAATACAGTGGTGAGATGTTGCTTTGCAAGACACCAACTTGTGTTCAATCTTCAGTACCACATATCTCAGCACTGCTTGTAGTTGCCTAAGCAATAGGAGTAAACTAAGCATAGAACAAGGAGTAAGCTCTAAGCTAAGAATCTCTGGGAATAACGCCCAAATAAATAAATAACAAGGAGGAGGAGGAGACAATCTTAAATCTTTATTAAGGTCACGATCCTCCCGTTGTTCATCGATTTGCTCAAGCAGGCCCAGTAACGTCTCCATTGGAGACTTTGTTGTTACTGTGTTTGGCATATTGAATACATCACGGGTAGCTTGCCAGTCTTTGCCATGTGGGCGAGATATTCTCGGTAGCGTGCCAGGCTCTCCAAGAGGGGCGGAGGAATCAACTCGGGTCAGTCATGTTGACCTCTTTGCAAGGCAAACGCCCTACCGCTGTGCTATTGCTCCAGTCCCTCTTATGGTACTGCGATTTATAATACTGATAGTTTTGTTCTTATATCATTATAATACCATGCCTGCTACCAGAATACCCACTTCCCTAAACTCAGTTCTGTGGACCAACTCTCCAGTTCTGCTGCCTTTGGCCATTTGTTGCTTCCTTACTGTGCATTCTTAACTTTCGTTTATGAGAGAGATTATTCTGTATTAATCCCTTTTCTTCTGACTCATTTAGCATAATACTCTCTAGTTCTATGTCATGGCAAATTGTTTGTACAGCTGCTAGTATTCCTTATGTCATTTAAAAAAAAATACCACAATGTCTTGATCCATTTATCTGTAGTTGGCCATTTGGTTGTTTCCATATCTTGACTAGTGTACTAGTGTAGTGCTGTAATGTGCACATATGTCCCTTCAAATTTATGTATTTGGGGCATTGATGTCAAGAAGTAGAATCGATGAGTTGTATGGGATTTTTAGTCTTACCTTTTTGGGGAAGTTTCCATATTGCTTTCCCTAGAGGCTGAATCAAATGACATTTCCACCAGCAGTGAATGAAATTTCCTTTCTTACCACATTCCTACTAACACTGGTATTTCCAGACTTTTTTGATATGTGCATTCTCACTGGTGTGAGATGGTATTTGTTTTTATTTGAATTTTCCTAATCAAATGACAACAAATACACTTTCATATGCTTATTAGTTATCCTAGGGCTGGAGCGATAGCACAGCGGGCGTTCGCCTTACAAGCGGCCAACATGGCCGACCCGAGTTCGATTCCTCTGCCCCTCTCAGAGAGCCCAGCAAGCTATCGAGAGTATTCAATATGCCAGACACAGTAACAACAAAGTCTCCAATGGAGACGTTACTGGGCCCGCTCGAGCAAATCGATGATCAACGGGAGGGCCTTTACCTTTACCTTTTACCTTATTAGTTATCCATATATCTAGAAGACAATCTTAATGTATTTAGTGTCCTTCTGTGGAAAGCTGGTATCTATCCTTCTTCCCTATTATTGGAATTAATTCCAAATTCTGCACAGTTTTTTCATGGGTTTTGGTGGGTTTTCTTTCGCATTTCCACAGAATGCAGTTTCTATCCATCTCTAACTTTGAGATTAAAAGCTAGCTAGAGGGGCTGGAACGATAGCACATCGGGTAGGGCATTTGCCTTGCACGCAGCCATGACATGGCCGACACAGGTTTGATTCCCAGCATCCCATATGGTCCCCCGAGTACCGCAAGGAGTGATTCCTGAGTGCATGAGCCAGGAGTAAGCCCTGAGCATCGCCGGGTGTGACCCAAAAAGCAAACAACAACAACAACAACAAAAAGCTAGCTGGAAAAAAATTAAGAAAATTGAAACATTTATTTAAAAACTTTCCCCCTTCCTCAGCAAAAAACAAAACAAAATAAAACAAGACCAAATAGCTTCACTAATGAGTTCTACCAAAACTACAAAGATGACCTAATGAGTTGGAGAAACAGAACAGAGATAAAGGCATTTACCTCTCATGTGACTAAACATGATTTGATCTGCAGCACCACATATGGTCCCCCGAACACTGCCAGGGGTAATCCCTGAGCAGAGAGCCAAGAGTAGAACCTTGAGTCATCTGTGTGGCCTTAACCCTGCCCCCCCAAAGTACATTGCTAAAAGACATAAAAGAAGACACTCAAAAAATGGAAAAAATTTTGTACTCATAGATTTAAAAAATTCATATTGCCAAAATGATAATCATGCAACTTAGGAAATAGCTCAAAAGAATGTGTATTACTTTGCACATAGAAGATCTGGATTTGATCCTCTGCATGGTTTCCCCAACAATGCCAGGAACAACCCCAGTGTACCAAGCTGAGAGTAGCTCAAACACAGCCGGATGTGATCCAAAAACATAAAAAGTGACAGTACAGCAAGTAGGATGTTTGCCTTGCATGTGGCTGACTCAGGTTCAATCCCCGGCATCCCACTGGGTCCCCAAAGCACTGACATGAGTAATTCCTGAGTGCAGAGCCAGGAGTAACCCCTGAGCATTGCGGCTGTGACCAAAAAAACATTAAAAAAGTGACAATCCAACCCAAAGCAATTTATAGATCAATGCAATTCCCAACAAAATTCAAATGGCATTATTCAAAAGAGATAGAAAAATCACTACCATGTTTTTATGGAATCACAAAAGACTCCAAATATCCAAAGAAACCCCAAGGGAAAAAATATTAAAGTCATTAGGTTTCCCAGCTTCAAACTATACTACAGCAGCGTGGTATTAAAACAAAAATAGACAAAAGGGTGAATGGAGTAGCATCTAAAGCCCAGAAAAAAATTCACCTTTACATATAGAATTTGTGACAAAGCAGACAAAAAGCACACAATGAAGTATCCACTACATCTGGGTGTAGTCCAAAAGTGTAAACAAAAAAACAAAATGTTTTAACTCACAGACTTGTTAGTTTTGGGGCTATACTCAGCAATTACTCCAGAGGTTCAGGAATTATTCCTGGCTCTGTGCTCAAGGACCACTCCTGGTGGGGCTCGGGATGCTGGGAATCGCATCCCAATTGACTTGAAAGCAAGGCATGTGACCCAACCTGCTGTACTATCACTACTCTAGCTCCAATCTTAGACTTTTTGACACATTTGAACTTATAGTTTTGAAGACTAATATCTGCAAAAATTCCTATAAAGTGTTCAATTGCAGTTTTTGAAGCAGATTCTCAGGCACTTCAACCAGCTTATGGCTTGAGTTTCAAATTCACATGGCTATCTTTTCACCATTGGAGGAGAGAAAATTAAAATCCTCTTCGAAGGCAGTTTGGCAGTTTTTTTTTTTTTTCAGAAAGAAGTTGAGAAGGCTGAAATGATAGTACAGTGGGTAAGGAGCTACGGTTTGATTCCCACCACCCAATATAGTAACCCCAGGAGTGATCACAGGAGTGATCCTTGTGCTCAGAGCCAGGAGTAAGATGAGGATCCTTTTCGCTCTCCAAGTTATCTGGAACCGAGTGAAAGCTGTAAAACAAGACAAAGGGCTTCATCCAACAGTAGACTAAAATGGATTAAAGCAAATTTTATTATGGGCCAGAGAGCTCGTACAGGAGTTAAGGCACCTGCCTTATTTTCAAAATCTAGATAAAGATAGGTAGGTAGCTCTTGAGAGCTGATTCCTATATGGCTCATCTTTTCAGTCATGTCCAGAGAACTCTGAGAAATTGTAGGAAATGAGCAAGCAAAGACTCAAGGCAGGCTTTATCTCTAACATGGTAGAAAGGGACTGAACATCATAGACAGAGCACTAAGCTCCTCCATGCCACCAGAACAGTGACAAGGAGAGTGACCTTCCAAGATCGATCTTGCCAATGATGGTTAGGATAGCATGTGTTAATATCACCAGTTGCCTGTAATAATGGGGTTAAGTAATAAAATGATTGAATGGGCAAGGGATAAAATGTTGCCAGGAGTAAGCCCTGAGCACAGCCAGGTGTGGCCCAAAACCAAAGAAGTTGAGAGAGGTGGGTGGGAGAAAGCCAGAGTCATGACTATGATAGAACAGCTGCCTTGAATGTACAAAATTCTGGATTGTGACCCCAGCATATACCTCCCCTTCCCAGTACCACCCAAAGTTGCACCACAACAGTGATAACAAAATGGATGACTTACTTTCATCAAAATCCCAAATCCTGGAGCCAGAGTGATAGTACATTGTAGGGTGCTAGCATTACACGCTGATGATCTGGGTTTGATTCCTAGCATTCCATATGGTCTCCCCCAGTACCTCCAGGAGTAATTCCTGAGTGCAGAGCCAGGAGTAACCCCTAGGCATCCTTGGGTGTGGCCCAAAAAATAAACATCCCAATCCCATGATATTGGGGTCAGCATAAGTACTAACAACTGCATGAATTCTGTATATTCATCGCCTCTTAAAATGGCATTTATATCTCTTCAGATGAACATGCTTAATTTAATTTAATTTTTTTTTCAGGTATATCCAGTCACTAGTTCATGATCATAGCCTCTCGCATCCCAATGGGCTTCACCTGCATGATCATGCTCCCAGGGCACTCTGCCATGTTCAATATATTGGGTTTGCAGGGGGCTGTAGCCATTTTTCCTTAAAAAAATATAAAAAAATCCAGGGGTCCTGGAAAGATAGTAGAGTGTTTAGGGCACTTGCCAGCATCCCACACAGTTCCTGGAGCATGCATGGCCAGTAGTGATTCCTGAGTGCAGAGCCATGAGTAACCCCTACACATTGCCAAGTGTGGCCCAAATACAATAACAAAAAATCCAGGGGTTCTGTATGTTTTTTCGTAGTTAGACATACCTGCTTTGCATGGTCTGAGTTTGATCGCTGGGACTTCATGGTACCTGAACACCACCAAATTTTTTTTTCTTTTTGGGTCACACCCAGTGATGCACAGGGGTTTCTCCTAGTTCATGCACTCAGGAATTACTCCTGGCGGTGCTCAGGGGACCATAGGGGATGCTGGGAATCGAACCCGGGTCAGGCCGTGTGCAAGGCAAACGTCCTACCCGCTGTGCTATCACTCCAGACCCCCAAACCAAATTTTTTAAATTGATAATGTATTTCACTTGTTACTAATTTTAAAATTGGCCTAGAAATTTTTCTCTTAAGAAACTGTTAGAATTAAAATTGTGAAATAGCGGGGGCTGGAGCGATAGCACAGCAGGTAGGGCGTTTGCCTTGCATGCAGCCAACATGGCCGACCCGGGTTCGATTCCCAGCATCCTATATGGTCCCCCAAGCACTGCCAGGAGTAATTCCTGGGTGCATGAGCCAGGAGTAACCCCTGTGCATCGCCAGGTGTGACCCAAAAAGCAAAAATAAATAAATAAATAAAAAAGTATTAGGTGCTATTTCACAATTTTTTTTTTTTTTTGCGTCACACCCAGCGATGCTCAGAGGTTACTCTTGGCTCATGCACTCAGGAATTACTCCTGGAGGTGCTCGGACGACCATATGGGATGCTGGGAATCGAACCCGGTTCGGCCGCGTGCAAGGCAAACGCCCTACCCGCTGTGCTATTTCTCCAGCCCCAACAGCACCTAATACTTGCCAAATATTTTTTGTTTCTGCCAATTCAGGTTGCAACTTTGTCCCCTAAGCCTCAACATTTTACATGTAAGCTTGAATCTAGCTTTTGCCTGCTACTAGAAACAAAAGCTGCTAATGAATTTGACAAATTGAGTACAACTTGACTCCCCACCGGTTGAGATTATTTGTAAAGACATCAGGGCCAGAGAGACAGTTCAACTGCATACAAGAGGTCGGGTTTGATCCCTGACACTGCATGGTCTCGAGCACCACCATGTGTGGTCCAGAAACTGAAAACAAACAAAAACCCCAACAAACAAAACCAGGTAAAGCCATGGATATACTAATTATAAGCTATTTGTGAAATTTCTGGGTGAGAAACCATTTCCAAAGTTATGCTAACATGATATCCCTTGAAATATACTTGGCAAAATATGAAACAGGAAAGAAATTAACCAACGGGGATATTAAATAAAACTATGGATTAGAATAAAGTAACTCTTACATTTTCAAAACTTCTTTTGTGGAAGAAAAGCTGTTTTTTTTTTTGGTTTTTTTTTTTTGCTTTTTGGGTCACACCTGGTGATGCACAGATGTTACTACTCCCGGCTCTGCACTCAGGAATTACCCCTGGCGGGGCTCAGGGGACCATATGGGATGCTGGGAATTGAACCCGGGTTGGCAAACATCCTACCCGCTGTGCTATTGCTCCAGTCCCAGAAAGGCTGTTTTCTCCATGGCTCTCCTTTCTTGTTATTGTTGTCTGGGTGAGGCAAGAACGTTTCTATTGAAAATTTAGAAAGACGTGAGGGAGAGAAAGGAGATTACTATTCAAGGGAGGGCTTGAAGAGCAAAGACAGCAAGCCAATATGGCATATTTTTTTTTGATAAGTTAAACTACCAGTTATTTGGGGTTGCATTTTTCTAAATGTTATTTTCAATTCAGTGCTGCTATTTTCAGTTCATCTTAAACCCTGTTACTAAATTAATCTTTTTGGAACACAAGGATATGTACTTCTTTTCCAAAAACCTGCAATAGTTTTCCACCATCAGAGAAATAAGTTGAAAACAATTAGCCTAAGAGTGCTACCACTATTTGGTTTTTATACCTTATCTAAACTTTCTGTTACTGTCACCGTCCTCCCGTTGTTCATCAATTTGCTCGAGCGGGTCCAGTAATGTCTCCATTGTGACACTTGTTTCTAAACTTTATTTTGAATTATTCCCCTGAGCAAACTACAACAAACCGTAACAGACCGAATCTAGCAGGTTGCTAATTCTTGTACTTGACCTTTGAGGAAAAAAAAATACATTTTTTTATTTATAACTTTTGGTCTTCATATAATTTTCATATAATTTTCCATTTTCAAATGCTTGACAGTACCTAATGACATAAATTTAAATTGAAGCACTTAAAAAACACAGCCACTTGTCTTTTATTTCATGCTAAAGTACCAGAGTTTAGTGATTACAAGAGATCTTATGCCTTTATCTGATCCTTCCTAGAACATTTACCAACTCCTGACCTAGATGTTTCTGTTCCAGTCATTTCATTTATCAAGAATCCTGACTCAATTTTACCTCAAAAAATATATATATATACATCTATATGAACTGGGAGATCATCCTCCACTCATATATCCATGCAGTTTTTCTGTTATTTTTGTTTTGGGGGCAGACCCAGTGATGCTCAAGGGTAACTCCAGGCTCTGGACTCAGGAATTACTGGCAGTGCTTGGGGGCCATATGTGATGCTGGGAATTAAACCCTGGTAGGCCCAATGCAAGGTAAGTGCCCTACCTACTATACTCACTCTCCAGCCCCCATATGTCTGTTTTGAGCAATCTTTTTGGTTTGCTTTTGGGTCATCCCCAGGGTACAGGGGCTACCTGTAGCGCTGAAGGAAGGAGGGAAAGGGGAGTATGGAAGAAGACCATATGGTACCAGGCATCCAGCACAGGCCTCCTGCCCTCAAAGCATGCAGCTCCGTCCTCTGGGGTAAATCTCCAGTTGCCTCATTTCTTGTTTCAATTAAAAATATTTTGTTTTTTGTGGGAGCTAATCTCCTCAGGCTGCCATAGCCACTCACAGGAATACTGGGAGAGGAGCATGCAGTGGCTAGGACAGAGCCCAGGGCTTAACAATCAATGTAGGGCACTGTGCTCCTCCACTTGCACCATCCCTTGCACTGGGTAATTTTTCTTTTTTCTTTTGTGTGTGTGTGGGGGGTTGGAGGGTATAATTTTTTTTTTTTTTGCTTTTTGAGTCACACCTAGCAATGCACAGGGGTCACTCCTGGCTCATGCACTCAGAAATTACTCCTGGCAGTGCTCGGGGGACCATATGGGATGCTAGGAATCAAACCCGGGTTGGAAGCATGCAAGGCAAACTGTACTATCACTCCAGCCCAGGCAAAATTTTGTTTTTGTTTTCTTTTTGGGTCACACCTAGCAACGCCCAGGGGTCACTCAGGAACCAACCCTGGCAGTGCTCAGGAGACCATATGGGATGCTGGGAACTGAACCCTGGTCCGGCTGTGCAAGGCAAATGCCCCACCTGCAGTGCTATCGCTCCAGCCATCCAGGTATAATTTTTTTAAGCCTTTACATCAAGATCGACCTTTTTTTTTTAAGATTTTAAAAAATTGCAATGCTTAAACCCCTTGCAATGCTCAGGGGTTACTCCCGGCTTTGTGCTCAGGGAATCACGGGACACACAGGGTACCAGGAATTGAACCAGAGTGGGCCCCGTGCAAGGGAAAAGCCCTACCAGCTAGACTATGACTTAGACCCCTGATCTCTCCTCTATGCTCCCACTATTTTCTATATTTCCATCAATCAATTACCTTGGCTTCTGTGTTTTGTTTTCCCCAAAAGACAGTAGACTCCTTAGTATCAGAGATGGGTTTCACCTTTTGTTTTGTTTTTGGGCCACACCCGGCAATGCTCAGGGATTACTCCTCCTGGCTCTGCACTCAAGAGATCATTCCTGGCGGGGCTTGGGGGACCTATGGGGTGCCCAGGATCGAATCAGGGTGGGCTACATGCAAGGCAAGCTGTTACTATCACTGTTACTGTCTGCCACCACTTAAGTTCACAGTTCAAGGAATCAAACTACACATGACACATGAACTGAGCACAACCAGCCTCACCTGTTTGTCAGAGGCAACCTCTCCCTTCCCTTCCTCCGCCAACGCCCCCATACACACACATACTGGGTGCTCTGGTGCTGGAGGTTATTCCTAGCAATGCCAGCCTATGCCCTGATGCGGTAGCTCCACCACCGTTGAAGGGACCACAAGGAC